ACTAATACACATTTAGCTATGTTTTAATTTATCAAAAAACTAAATCAATGTTAGAACTGATATCAATATTCAAAGATCTTTCTAAAAGTGTTAAATTGATAATCGTTTTTCGTGAAACTGAAATATCCAAATTTAGAAAAAAACAATTATTGGTGTTTATATTGGGTCCATTTAAACAGTTCCCCTGTGGTAAATTTTCGCAGTATAATTTGAGTATTCTTGATGATTTAAAGCAAATATATCATCAAGGTAACATTAAGTAAATTGTCAAAAAATCAAATAGAATACTGACGGTCCATATGAGCCCACCAGGTGTGGCAAATGGTCCCTAGTATCTAGTTTACACTGCAGTTTTAAATATCTTTTATGGGGCTTTCATACTGAAAACACTAACAATATTAATTTTGAATGAAAAGAGACATTTTTAATACCGACTTCATATAATCAATTGTATCTTTTTGTCAAAAGGTATCACCTTGTCCGCCTTATGAAATCTATAAGTTGAAATCTTTAGCAGTTAAATCTGTAATCACGATTGATAATATGTTACGATAACCTAAAGTGGTTTTAACAAATTATAAAATAGGGAGATATGGTACGATTGCCAATAGAACAACTATCGATTGAAAACTATACGAACAGTTTCAGGCAGTGGCGGATCCAGAAATTTTCATAAAAGGGGGGGGGGGGGGTGACTGCCAGTCATGCTTAAGTGATTCCCTAAATAATGAACCAAATTATTCCCACAAAAGGGGGGCCCGGGCCCCCTGGAAAACCCTCTAAATCCGCCTCTGACAGGTCACTGCAGAGCTGTCAACAATGAGCAAAACCCATAACGTATCATTAGCTTGAAAAATGCCCCACGATGACAACATTTAAAATAATTAAAATAAGAAAACCAATGACCTAATGTATAATACATTGTAAAACAATAAAAAATCCAATAATGATAGACATGAAATAACAACAACCACTGAATTACAGGAGGCTCCTGGCTTAAAACAGTCACATAAAAACTGTGGCGGGGTTAAACATGTTTATGAGCGCATTAACCTCCCCTACCTAGGCAATTAGTGTAACAATACAACATTAGAACAAACTATAAAACCATTTGGGAAGAACTTCACTCATCTGATCGGTACATTGCACAAAAACAAATAACAAAAAGACACAAAACACCAAATAATCATCTAATAATACTGCAAGTTCATAGTTCAAAACCCAACTTTAACTGACTCAAATATCAATCAGTATACCTATTTAACTGATTCAGTCAGGAGCATGTTGTACAGTGGTTGTCGTTGGTTCATGTCTGTCATTTTGTTTTTCGTAAATTGTTTTGTCCTGAATTAGGCCCTTAGTTTTCTCATTTGAATTGTTTCACATTTTTCATGTCGATTCCTTTTATAGCCGACTATACGGTGTGGGTTTTTCTCATTGTTCAAGGCCGTACGGTGGCCTATAATTGCTTACTACCACTTCATTTTAACTTTGGTGGATAGTTGTCTGATTGTCTAATATTAGTGACTGAAAATATGTGAACATATAATATATTTCATTTGATGAAAAAGTAATAGTTATAATACGGGAACTATTAACACTCTATATTATCCGATATAAATTGATAACCCCTGGTTTTGAATAAAGTTCTTGAAATTCTGTCAAAAAAACCCTGAAAGTAGTGAATATCTACATTTCGATATAATAACTTTTGTAACGTAGTTCATTCATACGCAGTTTAGTAAAGTTGATGGTCGATTTCATTTGAAAGATGCAATTTATTTCTTGTAAAACATTTGATTTCAATGAGTGAAATGTCGACTACCATCCCTCAGGGACTGTTATGCACCGGTCAAGTCCATGTTCGTTGTAATTACTTAATGATTTGTTTCTATCTGCATGATTGCTTTTTTATTAATCATCCTTATATCTAATAATTTATATTTTTATCTGTTTTCCATTCTATATGTTGGTATTTATTACTGTTAACCTGTCATGAACACCAATTATACAAAGTCAGTATCGGAAACTTGATAATCTTTGTGTCTGAAATAAGTTGACACTACTTATCGAAATGTCACACCATGTAAACACAAAGGGGCTTGAAAGGGGACATGAAGGTTTGGTCAATGTCACGTGGGATACACTCCACCAATCAATATTATTTACATACAGTGGAAAGGCTTTTACGACAGAAAATGTATTCAATAAAAGATTAAAGTAACTGTTGTAAAATAACTTGAAAACAAACTATATTTATAATACTTTTTTATAGAATGATAATTTTCTCTATTTCCTATGTTCAATCGAGATCGTACTAGTCCGAGCATATTCGCCTTTAACCATTTTGTTAACACCAGACCCCTGCATATACACTAAATGTAAAAAACAAAAACAAAAGTTCATGACTTCCAACCAAAACCCATAATTCACAATGTTGCGCGTATTTAACTTGAACATTGGTTTTACAGTCAATCTGACTTTGTATAAACATGATAGATATATAATGTGTTGACGTCCTTTCATTAAAACACTATCCATAAACATAAGATTTCTCATATTGAAATGTCATGATCCATAATGGATATATTTTATTCTAAACACGCTATATCTAAATACATCTGAAGAATTAAATATAAAGTGATGCAGCATTAATGTGGAAGCAACGTTTTCATTTGATGAGCAGGATTATGGCCTTATATGAATAACAATGAAGAGATGTAGAATGTTGTAATCCGTAAGTGTCAACAGGTTCAGAGCATCTTTTACATTCAAATGACAACATATTTTGATTAATTCAACAAATTCCAATTAAAACCCATTACGGCTATGATAGACACATAATGAAAAGAGCATTCCATTTTGGTATGAATTACGGAAAATCAGTTGAAGTTACATTATTTTGCTATTACAAACATGCTTTGAAAATATTTATCTGAAGAAAAAAAAATAAAACTGCTAACTCAAGAAGTTTTCGGATTCCTTGTTATAGGTAGAGCTAAGGAGAATAATAAAAACCTACTTACGAGGTCAACAATACACAAAGTGCGGATGGTGTTATTATCAAATCTTCAATGATGCAATGCTATTACAAATAAAACAGTCAAATTGCAAAAGACAAACGGACTACATGAAAAGGTTCTAAATTGCCGAAATATTTTAAAGTGTCACATGGCAGGCGTCCGTACAGATTTTTCTTTGGTATTTAACTGACCATGCACATAGAAAAAAATACAATACTATTTTGAACATATATGTAGGACTCAAATCTATGGTGGGTTCCAGATCTATGACAGATTTCAAATCTATGGCAAATAGGGTGTCACAAACGCAATACAAATCATAAATCTATGGCAGTTTTTTTTTTCTCCAAATCTATAGCAGAATTTTAAATTGCGTAATTTTCCGGGGGGGGGGGGGGAGTAAACTATAACGTCACAATTAAATAACGTTATATTATGTCGTTGACGCCGCTAACGATGGCGGAACAAATAGATTCGAATACCATTCCAGATACCGGTTTTATTGAAAGCTTTTTCGTTACCATTTGACATTGCGACTGGTGCCAAATGCTGAGCAGGAAATGCTTACTCTTCTGGAGTACCTGATTTCACTCTTGGTTTTTATGATAATTCGCATTTGTCATGCTTTGGGTATTTGTGTTGTCGGTGTTTGTATTCCATGTTTGTTTCTCTTCTTGTTTTCCTGTCATCGTGTTTCTGGTGTTGCCTTGCCATTGAATGTAAGAGTTTTTACTGTGACTTTGGTATGCATTTTGCTTTTCTTTCATAATTTTGTGTTATGCTATGCTGTTTTCTTGTTATTTTGTTATCCATTAGGTACTCTTCAAATTTCTTTTAACATAATCAAGCATTTTTCAACTATATTACAACGACTACCCGACAGTGTATTATTGAAGCAAATAATCTTTCTTGATATTTGGAAACTAAAAAAAATAAATCTGTCATGAATTTCAAATAACTGCCTACATCATTTTCAGCTATATTTATGTTGAAAACCGGTAACGTTAGAACGTAAGATTTTTTTAGAAAGTCACTCGTTTTAGGCAAGTCATTGGTCAGATGTGTATGTACTGGGCCTCCATTTGCAGAAAATCTGCCATAGATTTGGAAACTAGAAAATCCGCCATAGATTAGGAAACTAGAAAATTTGCACCGCGCTGAAGTACGTCAATTATTCATTTTTCATTATTCAAAATTCAATAATGAATAATGAAATAGTTCATTATTCATTATTCAACGTTAAGTGATGAATAATGAATAATGAAATAGTTCATATTTCAGTATTCAAGCTGAAAAGTGAATAATGAAATCGAAAATTTATTTTTTGACTGTGAATTAGCCAATTTTGAATAATGAAATGGATATTTTGAATAATGGAATGGGCTGCTGCGACCCTTCAGCCCCTAATTACAGATATACCGTATACGTCATTCGAAAGCTTATCAATAGAGGAACAAAAGATATACAGTCAATATGTCCCGCAACGCCTAATAGAGGAGTTTCATTATTCAAAATTGGCTATTTCTTAATTTTATAATGATCCTACATATATATGACAAGAATGAAACACGAGAGTTGAAAATGAATTGTCCCCTCAACATTTGGTACGAACAATTTTAAAACTTGTTAGATAAAGTTATATTAAAATATGGAAAAAATGGAATTTGTGAAAAGAAATTAACCTTCAAAATATAGTTATCACACTACCTACATGTAATAAATCACATGCATTTCTTATATCTATTGAAATCCTAATATTTCTCCCTCTGTGCTAACAGCTAACAGAATGTGGGAGGTGTTTAAATCAACAAAACTTGCATGTAAATGATGTCTTCTTGTTTCTCAGAGTATTCAATGATGTCTTCTTGTTTCTCATAGTATTCAATGATGTCTTCTTGTTTCTCATAGTATTCAATGATGTCTTCTTGTTTCTCAGAGTATTCAATGATATCTTCTTGTTTCTCATATTATTCAATGATGTCTTCTTGTTCCTCAGAGTATTCAATGATGTCTTCTTGTTTCTCAGAGTATTCAATGGTGTCTTCTTGTTTCTCAGAGTATTCAATGATGTCTTCTTGTTTCTCATATTATTCAATGATGTCTTCTTGTTTCTCAGAGTATTCAATGATGTCTTCTTGTTTCTCAGAGTATTCAATGATGTCTTCTAGTTTCTCAGAGTATTCAATGATGTCTTCTTGTTTATCAGAGTATTTAATGATGCCTTCTTGTTTCTCAGAGTATGCAATGATGTCTTCTTGTTTCTCATAGTATTCAATGATGTCTCTTCTTGTTTCTCATAGTATTCAATGATGTCTTCTTGTACATCTACTTTAGATACAATCAAAATAACTAGAAATTGTTTTTGGAATCCAGTGTTGCATTCTATTTCATTGTTTTTCAACTATGTGCTGATAACTTTGATTTTGTTCACTCTAATGTAGTATACTAGTAGTGGAAAGGAGATAGAAAAAATAAAACATCTGCAGAGTGTCATGACTAGTTTTCAGTTTTTGGTGTAGTTGTTTTTATTAGATGGAATGATGGTATATATAGTGGTCAGTAGAACATACAAACGTTAACCCGGAAACACGTGTACACTGAAATAGATATCATACTTCTACGAAATGTGAATAGAGTTTGAACAATAGGTTTTACTACTTCCCAATGACCTTCATTTTCTCAAACAAAACAAAATAATCAGTACATTGACATTGACACTTAGCCTTTAACTGTCCTAATAACTTAAGAAATCGATTGTGTAATTGGATAACGGCGACATGCTAACGATGACAAATATGTCATTATTGAAAAAGCATATGCAAATCGGATTATACTGCTTTTTGATCACTTTCAAATTGTGTAATATGCAATCATTTTGGTAGAGTAAAGTACAGAAAATGTTTAACATTTCAAACAAGCCGGTAGGCCTTAAAATTGATGTTTGCAATACATTATACAATTATTGACTTTTGGTGAGGTTGATACAATGATTTATCAACTCCAGGTATATGATATTCACTGAGGTTGGTGAGTTGATAAATTTTATCAATTAAATCAAAAGTCAACTATTGTTTTATTATATGACTTTTTTTTATCCTTCTCCAATTTTCTATTATTTGCTCGAAATACTTTTAAAACTGCTCCGGCCTGTTTTTATACTAAATATATCAGCTGCTTTTGCAGTTGCTAATTTCCATAAGTTGAAATATTACAAGTTTACTAACAAAAAATATACCGAAAATAAGAAGAAGAGAAAAAATAAACCGAAAACAAGAAGAAAAAGAAAGAAAAGAGAATTTGCCGATGACATCATAAAACTACGTCATTGCGTTGGAATGTCTATATTTAGGTACACGGACGCTGTTCCAAATATTATATCAACCCCTCGGAAAGAATTTTCTTTGCTTTTAGCCAAAGAGAAAACAGAAAATTTATAGTCATACAATAATTTAAAATAATTGAAAGATCAATCTTTTATACTCTAACAAATGCGTTATATTGATGTTTTATAAGGTTACCATCATTTTGACTGGCACCCAACACTAGTTAACGGGCTGATAAGATCAATAAAACACAGCGTGACTGCACGAGCTCACCATGACAACGTTACCAAAAGCGTAGGAATGTATTTCTTTTTTTTTACAAAATGAATCGTATGTTAAGTTGTCTTAAGCATTCAGATTGAATAAATGCTTCTTTAAGTCGTTTTATAAGGTTTTAAACGACGTGACCGTGCACAGTTTTAGTATGAAGCGTTTACGTTATTCATAAATGATGTGAAAGAATCAAATAAACAATAAATTGGCAAATAAGTATATTGTTGCCACATTCTTCTATGATTGAATTCAATGTTTTCTGGTAATAGAAAGCTTTCAGCAAGTTAAATCCAAATTCATAAGTTTTGTCTTGTAGTCATTGTTTTTGATTTAAAAAAATGAATAAAAAGAAGAATGGGTAAAACCCAATCAGACAACAACCAAATGGCATAAAAGACTAGAAGACTTTTATATACATTGTTTCAAAATAATAGTATTAAAAGCGGTAGGAATCATAACAAGTACATTTCTATGTCATTATGCTTCTACTTAAGTTGTTTTGGAATCTTAATGATTGACAAATCAAAGCTTGTCTGTCAATTCATTTTTTTCAGAAAATGCTCTTAATCTCAATAATTATAGTTTATTCTCTTGAGAGTTGTCTCATCAGTGATAAGCATTTTGACTGATGATATCCTAATATGACCAATTCCTAAGAAATACATTTAGTTTAGACTATAATTGATCAATTATATAAGTAGTTCAAAAGAGGAATGTCTGATAATTGATAATGAAAAAAAGCTCAATAAACTGAATACGTATTCGAATTACTCAGAAATGCAAATTACGTATTTAAGGTGAAAGTTTTCTGTGTAGACTTTTGATCAGTTGCATGGAGATGATAATATATAAGTTTTAGAATAAAAGTTCATAAATCTAGACCTCTAATCCTAAAAATACTATACGGCCTTCACCGACAAACAAATTTCCAAATTATTATATATGCTAAGCTTTTAAAATAGCCAAATGTTAAACTATAGATCTAATTTTAAAAAGGTATAAAAGGAATATGCCATTTTATTTATGAAATTGCAGACATTGGCATAATAGCAGTTTTATGATGATTATCTATCAACAATCAAGTCAAGTCTATAAATTATTTCCGTCATTTATCTGTCGGATTTTGAAAGTACATTATTGTAAATCAATGACATTATAACGAATTATAAGCTTAACTAAAGTATCACGACTTATAAAAGATCTTTGATGCATTGTTAACTTATTACTGACAATGTTTTTTCTCCCCTATAAACTGTACTATGGTACTTTTCAGAGTTATCTTTTTTCCCTATAAACTGTACTATCATCGTACTTTTCAGAGTTATCACATTAACATGTGAACTATATGTTTCAATGAAACCAAATGTTTGCACAGTATACAACCACCATCGTGTTGTGCATGCAATGAGAAAAATCGATTGGAACGGAAATTGCCAAAAAGATTCGTTCTTTTCAAATTCTTTGGAAGACAAAATAATTTAATTCTGAAATACTTTTCAGAACTTTCACTGATGATAAAAGGTTAATTTTGGATATAGATGAGACTTTATGAATATATATGTTGGTAAAGTTTTTTGTTCATATTATTCTACATTGTTTTCACATACGAATAAAGTACTCTCTTTTATCTGTTTTGGTACAAAAAATAGCTTATTCACAAATGCTTTTAGTATCAAGCCCCCCGTAAGCAATTCAATGATAAGAGACACAGATGCAAGTTAATGTAACACTTCAATTAACTAATTGGCATAGATGAGACGTAGCACATCCTTTATAATTAAAGCTGCGGTCACACCTTAACGGATAGGTCGAACGGACGCCGAACGGATGAAAAAAAAGTTTTCAGTTGACAAAATTTGTATCCGTTGGGAGTCCGTTGGTGTACTGACCATATAAAACGGACGCATAACGAATGGTTAACGGACACACACCGGATATGTAACGTTCGAGAAACGGAAACGTACCGGACAGAACGGATGTCGAAGTACATCCAACGGACGAGTACCGCATAAAACGGACACCTAACGAAAGCGTACCGAATAAAACGGATGAACAAGTTAAGCGGGAAATTAAAGGCGGCAATATTAGTACATGTAAATCACATAAACGTGACCTTAAAATAATTAAAAAGTTTTCGTGTAACTGGTTGTAGTTTATAGTCTAGAAGGTTTATATTTGCAACATTTAAGTTCAGTCTGGCCTAAATAAGAGCTGTTTGATAGTGAAGACGTGCCCTTACTCAGCCATCCATTATGAATAATAAACATTCATGACATTCAAGAAATCTAACATACCAATAATTGGCATTTCTAACGCATAATTTTCAATTGGCATTTATTCGTTTTACATTCGGTACGAATCCGTTTTATCCGTTATCCTTCCGTTCATGTCCGTTTCACATCCGTTTATCATCCTTCTTATCCGTTATACGTTCGTTATACGTCCGGTAGTAGTCCGTTGGTGAATTGGTCTACCGGACCATCAACGGATGTATAACGGACAATTAACGGATACAAAACGGAAACGAAACGGACGAGTACCGTTAAAAACGGACTACTACCGGACGTTAAACGGACTACTACCGGACGTTAAACGGACACTATATCCGTTGGACGTCCGTTCGAAGTTTTGAACATGCTCAAAATTTTCCACCGGACAGAACGGACGTCGACGGATAAAACGGACATGAAACGAATATGGACGGACGTCTAACGGATATGAACGGACTTCTAACGGACATGAACGGATTGAAAAAAAGTTATCCGTTCGGCGTTCGTTCGCGCTATCCGGTAAGGTGTGACCGGGGCTTAAGGATGTACACCTCTGAGGAGCCAACAATTTCTAGAATTAGACTTTTTTTTAACCTGATTTTTGGGTTTATATGACTGTAAAAAAGAAATTGATGGAGAAAAAATCATATGGTGGTGCACTTCTCTTTTTGCTACGGCCATTTGAAAGTACCCCATTTTTATGATTTTCCCATTTTTCATCAATTTTTACCCATTTTTGGGCTATTATCATGAAAAAAAATCACAGTTTCACAATTAAACTTTTTTTCATACTTTCACTAAAGATGAAGTGGACCAATTTGAATAAATTTAACTTATAAAAACTATAGGTAGGTGTTACTATAAGAAAGTTTTATAAGATTTTGTTGCTTTTTCGTGTCAAATTGACCATGCTGTAAATTTTGTAAATTTGGGATTTTTCTCATTTTTTTAGAACAAAAAGCATATTCTATCAACTTTTTTTGTTATGAATGATTGACAAAATACATATCTAAGAATTTTGAAAAGGAAAAATTGATATGGGATGTACATATTTTGGTAAAATCATTTCTTTGTACACTTTACCCATTTTCTCAACATTTTGGCTGATGACACTGACTAAATTTTATTACTCAAAAACTACTTATTATAAATACACAATTTTTTCACATAGTTTAGTTATAACATTTTTAAAAATCATTGATATTTTCCACTTGTATCACATTTTTTGGAAATAATTCCCGAACGAGATTTCAATGAGACTGAAACATGAGAAGATCCTTAATGAAAGAATATCGTTATATAGCGGAAAATAGAGGAAAAGGATCAGGGGAGTATTTCAAAAATTCTTCCACAAAAGTGTAGGGAAATAGATATGCAAGTGGAGGTACACATTTGGTGCCTTTCGGAATGTCAATCGTCTCTATTATTTGAGTCTGTGTTGCTCTAGATCGGTTAGTAATAATATTGATTTTAGAAGAAATAACTGTCATAGCGTTTGTGTTTTCATTTGTATAAAAAAACCCGTGTTATTTATATTGTCTGGCTTGTCTCTGAGCAATACTTCGCTCTGTTAGCTTTCTTGTCGTTATGTTTATTGTTTTATTGCAATTGGAATGACACAATGTTCTTATCAATACAAGAAATTGGAGATCAAAGCTAGTAGTTAAGGGAGCTAACATTTGATGTTTTATGGGGGGGGGGGGGGGGGGGGCTTGGATGAAAAATTGTTATCTCTGTCCTGCCTTTTTATTTTTCACTCTATTCGGTCCTGCCTTTTTTTTATTAGTTTATCCTGACTTTTTTTACATAAATTGTCATCCTGCCTTTTTTTTGGGCAAAGTTGCTCATCCTGCCTTTTTTTTACTCAAAACTCCTGTCCTTCCTTTTTTCAAATTTCATCCTAGCCCCCCCCCCCCCCCCCTCCATAAAAATCAAATGGTAGCTCCCTAATGGAACATTGGAATAATTTATGAATAACTCCTAATATTATTAAAAAAGAAAAAAAATACATAAGTAACGTCATTGTAACTTATTACGTACTTGTTAAAATAAGATCTTTTAAAAACAACTTCTTTACGGTTTAATGCATCTACTCCTCTGATTAAAACATCTGGCCATATTCTACTACACTGATTAAAATATGTCTCTGTTTTACTGTAGTGGTTTACACATATGGCCCTGTTCTATTGCACTGATTAAAACACATGACTCTGTTCAACTACACTGATTAAAACACACGTCTCTGTTCTATTGAAGTGATTGAAACACGTATGTCTAAGCTACTGCACTGATTAAAACTAATGGTTCTGTTGTTCAGCACTGATAAAACACACGGCTCTGTTCTACTGCACTGATTATAACACACCACCCTATTCTACTTTACTGATTTTTACACACGGCCCTGTCCTACTGCACTGAGTACAACACATGGGCAGACACTGTTTTTCTGCGCTGTTTTGGTCAACTACACTGAATAAATCGCATGGCTGTGTTCTACAACACTGTTTAAAACACATAGTTGTGCTGTATTGAACTGATTAAAACACACAACTCTGTCTACTGTACTGCTTAAAAAAAACACTGTTCTGTTCTCCTGTAATTATTAAAATACACGGCCCTTCTCTACTACAATGATTAAAACACGTAGCTCTGTTCTACTGCCAGACTTAAATCACTTGGCTGTATTCTACTCAGTGCAAGGTTTTAATCACATGGTTCTGTCCTACTACACTATTTTACACACATGGTTCTGTCATACTGTACTGTTTAAAAACACGGCTCTGTTTTACTTCACTTTACTGTGTTCTACTGTATTGCTTAGAATACAAGGTTTTGTTCTTCTGCACTGATTAAACCACACGACTCTGCTATAATACTGTAATGATGAAAACTCATGGCTCTGTATTACTGCAATGATAAAAACACACGGTCATGTTCTACTATGTATGTGTTTGTATTAAAGCACTGCTTTTAACACACGGCTCTGTTCTACTGTACAGCTGAAATCACATGGCTGTAGTCTACTGCAAGGTTTAAACATATATAGCGCTGTTCTACTGCACTGTTTAAAACACAAGCCTGTCCTACTGCACTGTTTAAAACACAAGTCTGTCCTACTGCAATTATAAAAACACACGGTCCTGTTCTACTACACATGTTTTTGTATTATTGCACGGCTTTTAGTACATGGTTGTGCAGCTGAAATCACATGGCTGTATTCTACTGCAAGGTTTAAACATATAGCGCTGTTCTACTGCACTGTTTAAAACACAAGTCTGTCCTTCTGCACTGTTTAAAACACACATATATGATGTATTGCTTAAAACAAACGGCACTGTCTTACTGCACATATCAAATCAGATGACTGTGTTCTGTTCTTCTGCTCTGCTAAAATCACATGGCTCTTATGTTCTGTTCTACACACTCTAATTATTATCTGTGTTTGTCTGCTGCTTTTTGATGACATCGCATATAACACCATTTTTTGATGTATTATGCACAATAGTTCCCAATTCCAAACTTAAAGGCAGATTGTGAAATAATTGATCCAACCAATCTTAAAATTATAATGTTTAATTTCTATTGGAATGTTTTGTTATATGTAAGGACAAATACTAATTGTAAAAATGCTCTTATTCAACCGAAAAAAGACCAAGGACCCGATGGATGCCATTAGTATAGCAGAAACTGCTTTTCCTCCTGAGGCCCTGATATCGCTCCTAGTATTTTGTGAAGTTTGTCTATTCAAAATTCAATAATTTTTGTATTCTTTTGAAGACAGTTGTCTTTTTGTTTTAGTTTTTTTTATAGTTTTTTTGTAAAGGAGATTGCCTTTCGTTGTTTTTCTCGCCTCGATATAGACTTTTGCACTAAGGCGACATACAGACAAGATAAAACATTCAATCTTCTTCACCTTGCACTTATATTGCTCTCTTGGTATCTTCTTACACTTTTTATGCATATTGGAAATTACTGACTGAATATTGTCTCATAAGGCATTACGTTCTTGAATGAATAAAATGCGAATTGCAAGTATGATTTTTGTTTTTAATCGTATCGAAATCAAATTTATTGACGTAAGAATTGAGATGACATTAGTTTTATGGACTTCATTATTATTTTAGCTCTTTATTGTTCACCAAGGTTTTTTTGTTTTACAAAACATCTTTAGTTTCTCGCCAGCTTACGATTTAATATTGCACTTAATTACCTTACTTATAAAAGTCATTGATAAAAGTCATATAATAAAGTCATTATATAGTCATTGTTTTGGATTACATGAATAAAAAGAAGAATGGGAAACACCCAATCAGACAACAACCAAATGGCATAAAAGACTAGAAGACTTTTATATATAAAAAAGAAGATGTGGTATGATTGCCAATGAGACAACTCTCTACAAGAGACCAAATGACACAGAAATTAACAACTATAGGTCACCGTACGGCCTTCAACAATGAGCAAAGCCTATACCGCAAAGTCAGCTATAAAAGGCCCCGAAATGAAAAATGTAAAATAATTCAAACGAGAAAACTAACGGCCTAATTTATGAACAAACAAAAAAATGAACGAAAAACAAATATGTAACACATCAACAAACGACAACCACAGGTTTAAGAATTACAGGCTCCTGACTTGGGACAGGCACATACATACAGAATGTAGCAGGGTTAAATATGTTAGCGGGATCCCAACCCTCCCTCTAACCTGGGACAGTAGTGTAACAATACAACATAAGAACGAACTATAAAAATCAGTTGAAAGAGGCTTAACTCATCAAATAGATACAAATAGAAATACATCTAACAAAAACACAGAGTGGACGTGACCGGGTACTTGTATATCCCAACAACAAAAAGACACTAAGTACAGATTTGAGAGTACTCGCAGTTACTGACAGCTAGTTCGAAGCCACTAACAACTAATAAAAAAAATCATGCATCTAAGATTAAATTATCAATCAGTACACATCCAACATCCAATGGATTTAGTGTAAAGACGTCATAAACAGTCCGAGAAAAACATGACCTTGTGCAATGCCAAGATACAGGTATCGACAGATTGTAGATCCATGAATGTGTATATGTATATAACAATAATATTTAGTTTCCTTTTAATTTACTGATAACAAAATCAGTATTAATACAAATAAAAACAATATTCAATGATCTAATTACAGTGTTGAATAGATAATCTTTTAGAATAAGTTTATTTAAAGGATCGATAAGTTTACCAGGATTACATGAACATTACGGTACATTTAAAACCCCCAAAACTCAATTTCAATGAATATTACGAAATAATATGGCCTTTTTTTATTGTTCATTACAAACTGAAAATAACACTTTATAAATTTTCGAATTTCTGAAGCATTGACTACTGAGCTGGAGACACCCTCGTAGACTTTAAGTTTTGACTACTGAGCTGAAGACACCCTCGTAGACTTTAAGCATTGACTACTGAGCTGGAGACAACCTCGTAGACTTTAAGTTTTGACTACTGAGCTGGAGACACCCTCGTAGACTTTAAGTTTTGACGACTGAGCTGAAGACACCCTCGTAGACTTTAAGCTTTGACTACTGAGCTGGAGACACCCTCGTAGACTGTAAGTTTTGACTACTGAGCTGGAGACACCCTCGTAGACTGTAAGTTTTGACTACTGAGCTGGAGAGACCCTCATAGACTTTAAGTTTTGACTACTGAGCTGAAGACAACCTCGTACACTTTAAGTTTTGACTACTGAGCTAAAGACAACCTCGTAGACTTTAAGTTTTGACTACTGAGCTGAAGACAACCTCGTAGACTTAAAGATTTGACTACTGAGCTGATGACAACCTCGTAGACTTTAAGTTTTGACTACTGAGCTGGAGACAACCTCGTACACTTTAAGTTCAGCAGCAGTGACATCGAACCATTGATAGTAAATGAAAATAGCATTTTAAAAATTTCGAGCGTCTGAAGCGCTTTTCTCAATAAACCTTAATCAATAACGATCAAACCTAAACATTTGAACACCAGGGATGTGTAAATACATTTGAACACCAGGGATGTGTAAATACATTAGAACACCAGGGATGTGTAAATACTAGGGATGTCAACTCGGTAAAGATATACTAATCGAGTACTCGTTGGATTTACCGAGCGATACTCGAGTACTCGCTCGGAAAAACATCAACAAAATGGAAACACAAAATTATACCCATTTCATGTATTGTGTGTCGTTGTCTTATGGACGTATCACCCTTAACATTATTACCTAGGACTAGAAAATAATTCAAGGAATTTTATACCACAATTAATAGCTCATTTACTACTTGTACCAATTAACATGATTAAGTAAACTGGCAATAATCATTTAATTAATAAACATCTTTAGAAAAAATAATTACTCAAACAACAGTATTTGGGAACCGTAAAAACACATTTAATGATCAACAAAGGGGTGATGATTAGAACTTACTGATGCCTTTAATCATGTTTGGAGGGTCGACACAGGGTGTAACGAATTTGTTCTTATTTAGAATTATCTTGTCACCTTTTTCTGGGACGAGGCGATTTATCAACTTTGTAACGTAATTAACAGTCCTGCTGATGAAAATATTTGCTCTGATGGTACAGAGGTGGAGGAATGACTAAGATTAGCTAAAAGTGTAAGCCTTGGAAAGGTGCTCTTGTTCATAGCATACCTCTGTATTCGGAAGGATTTTAAATGACAATTTAACGCAAACATTCGAAACGTATTTTAGTTTTGATCAATTGTGATTAATATTTAATTTCCCGGGAGGCGCTCTCAATAAGAATTTTTGTTAAAGCTTAAGAAAGCAACAACATTCTAACAGGAAACCGATTAGTCGAGTATCATTTTGGTATTCGATACTCGGTACTACCGAGCGATACTCGAGTACTCGAGTACTCGTTGACATCCCTAGTAAATACGTTTGAACACCAGGGATGTGTAAATACGTACAAACGTTAGGAGCTAAATGACCAAAAGCGACCTAAAAGGAATAGCCAATTCATCTATGGTCAACTTTGCATGAAGGAGTTGGAACTTCAGTTTCTTGATAACTTCTTAATTTATCATATTGTATAATGCTCATGTTTTATTGCCAAAATCGCATTATGTCATAAAAGTTCATGTCATTTTAGCATTTTTACTATTATGAGATCGTAAAACAACGTATAGGGGAAAAATACTCCAAAGTCATCATTCATGTATACTGCTCACTGTAAAAACATTCGCCAACTCCTTTGTGGTTACTGGTTATAATTTCATTGTATTTTCGCCTGCAGGTGTATGATGGGTTTTGCTAATAGTCATTAAAACTTTTTTAATTTTATTTGTAGTATCATTAGATTCAAATATATACTTGCGGTTTAAACAACGTTGTGTTGTATTTTCGAACTGGTGACGAAATAATAAATTTCTAAAGATGGCCCAAAAATGCAATTTTGACCAAAATTTTGAACATTTATCCTGAAATGTATAGGAAGGACATACTTAAACAAACCAAATTGTGTTGGTAGTAAATACTTATATAGATACTTGGATATTAAAATGACAGTTGGTTTTGACGACTAAATGATTATGACCATGTGAATGGAAAAAAAACTTATACACAAGTGTAATTAGCTTTGAGTCGACATTAGTAAATTTAACTAAGAAGATCAACAGAGTAATGAGTAGAAAATAACATGTTTAACCCCGCCACATTCTACATTAACCTGTCCCAAGTCAGGAGTCTGTTATTGAGTGGTTGCGGTGTTTTGCTGTTTCTCAAATATTTCGATTATTTTTTTGCATAGTTTTCATGTTTAACCCCGCCACATTCTATATGCGACTGTTCCAAGCCAGGAGCATACAGCCTTCAAGTAGTTCAGGGTTGTCGTTGGTTCATGTCTGTCATTTTTGCTTTTGTTATAAATTCAGCCGTTAGCTCTCAATTGAATTGTTTCATACTTTTTATGTCGGTGCCTTTTATAGCTGACAATACGGTATGGAGTTCTCTTATTCTGGAATGCCGTACGGTTGCCTATAATTGCTTATATCCACTTCATTTGAGATTTAGTGGATAGTTGTATCATTGGAAACCATACCACTTCGCCTTATTTTTTTTTTATAAAAGTCATGAGAAAGTTTGGCTTTGAGCGTTCCTGATGAAGGTAAATCCAGAAAAGCGCTTCGGACGTGTTGTTTTCAATTTTTTAACACAAGTAAACAGATTACACAAAGACAATCGAAGATTTCCTCAGTAGACAATAGCCGTGAGTCCAAATAGATTAAAAAGAGACGATCAACAAAGATACTCCGTAGACAATAGCCATGAGTCAAAACTGTGTACGTGAACTTTTAAGGCAAGGTAGAATCCCAACAAACAAACTAAGCAGTTCAAATATTCTATTCAGAAATCAAATATAATCAAATGATTTTAATGTTAATCTGGCACTTATTCCGGACTATAATATTGTATCAATTAAAAATATCAAATGTTATTAATCTACAAAACAAATATTCAACTAGAATATCATCACTGAGTGTAACTGCCTCCTCACATGAAGTTTTCGTCTTCCTTTTATATGTGAATTGGTCGGATTCATTGGCGGATCACCTGGACTCCGACTGGACGGAGTGTAACAATTAATAAAATAAAACGGAACAATTACCCCTTTCCAGAACTCTGGAATTCCTATTCTAGAAAATAAACGATAAAAGCCATATTCAGATCCAAAACTGACATCCACTTGGCGCCACTCAGTGTTTCTAAGTTATCTTCTATTCTAGGAATCGGATACGCGTCTTTGGTCGTCTTATCGTTCATTTTTCTGTAATCAACACACAGGCGCCACGAAAGATCTTTCTTTTGCACTAATACTAAGCTTGACGACCAGGGGCTATCTGACTTTTCAATAAGTTTCTTATCCTCCAACTTCTTAATTTCATCTTTATCAAGTTTATAAATAGATATTCTTCTTGGAGGTTCTTTTACTGAAATGTCTTCTTTCAATTTGAAACT